GTGGAGCTTCAGCACGGAAGGGCCGCGGGGAAGCAGTGACGTCTGCAGTAACAAAGCCGCTGAGCAGATGCACCCCTCCTCTCCCTACTTTGGTTTGAACAAACCTGGCTTACACAAAACACAGTGGGGAACAGTCAAGCTTGGAGGACCAGGAAGGATAAGCTGTTCTGAGGTGCAGAGTTGAAGTCTTCTGCTGTGAACCAAACTGGCTCAGGAAAGGCTAGGGGGTCGACAAAAGCTGCTGGGAAATGTCACAAGGCTGAACTTCAGCTGTCGCAAACGGCAGGATCAGCGGAGGATGCTCATGCTGAAAAAGCCTGGAATAAGCAGATAGGTATCTAAAACATTTTGAAAAACCTCCAGTTGTGGTGCTTTTTTCAGTGTGATAAATCCTTGTTGGATTAATTACCTAATAATGAAATTATCCCACTCTGCTAGAGGCAGATTTCTTGCTGAAGTGAGGTAAAATGTGATAGTTTGAAGGTCCCAGAGGGCAAAAGGGGCAGGGTTGCACTCAGCCAATGGACACCAATTCCCTGTCATTTCCCTAGTCAGGCCTGGCGAAGCATATCACATCTGCTGCTTGAATTTTAGGCCAAGATAAAGGGAATCTTGTAAAGCCCTATAGCTCAAGAACACTACATATTTAAAGCAGTAAATTCTTGCAGGGACCGTGATCCTTTTGCAACTTAGATGAAAGCAGACAGACTGCTGGGAGGGGGAGCAGAGTCATTTCATGGAACCACAACAGCAGCAGGTACCTGGGGTCCAGCTGCGACGGGCGAACAGTGCTGCTGTAGTGCTGGGGTAGTTTATGTCCCTGTAACGCCTGTAGGTCTAGAAACCACTGGAAAATGGACTGGGAGCTTTTCCATGTCCTGCTTGATGTAAATTTGTCAAGATCCATCCAGGTCTTATTTAGCCACCACTAGAGTTGTATGTCAGGTTCCTGGAAGTAAGAAAGGTGAAGGACCTTTCCAAGAACTAGTGCAGAGTTGGTCCCAGCAGAATCTTCCATAGACAGTTAGAAAAAAAAAAATATCCTGAGCTGTTTTAATTTCCCATAAAAGGCAGGAAGCAAATTAGCAGTGTAATTGCCTATAAAGGCAAAAAAGAACTAAAACGGTCCTTTCTTCTGTCCTTTCCACTTGATAATGAAGGCCTGAAAGGCTATAAATTGATGTGGCTTGTTCTAAGGCTTTAATTCTTTCTCCATTAGGACTGCTGGAAGGCATAGTGGACAGGCAGAAAAGAGGTCAGTATGTATCAGAGACAGTAGAGAAACCTGCAGATTTGTCTGTGCAGGGATGTTTAAATCTCCATGATAGATGGACCCATTGCATTGCACATGGTAGTCTGGACACTGCACACGTTTCTTCCAGGACAGGACTGCAAACAAATGTCCAGCTCAGCCTGTACAAATGAGCTTGAATTATTTGCAATCAATTGACGCCAGCCACGTACTCCTATGTTTCCATGTTTATGATTTGTATAGACAAATCCAAGAAAGGAAGTGATTTTGAGTTCGAGTATTAAAAGCTTTTTTGCTTGATTTTCTTAACAGCTGTTTTATCCCAACAGTTGGGAGAAAACCACCTTTTCATAAGGAGTCTGTGAGGAACTTTCAGCTGGAGGATGAAGCAATTTCCCATCTACATTTCCGGGTGTCTTTCCATGAGCTCAATGAATAATTCTTCCTGATATTTTAAAAGTTAGAAAAAATAATAAACAGTAAATGACAGTTAAGGAGAAGTAAGCCAACACAGATTTAGCTCCGTCAGCGAAGTTTAGTTGTTTCCCCTGCATTTCCAGATCTCCTTAGCAGTTGTATTTTCCAGGTTTGAGTAGGTTACCCTGAGTAACTTGTATTTGTTTGACGAAGCCTGATTATTAGCCATAATTTTTGAACCACAGTAGTCACCGAGAGATTATAAGGGGCTCAGGGAAGGCATTTTGGCATGTCTCATCTAGTCCCCACACTTGTAGAGCCCTCTCCAGCACACTAAATCCATTGTCTGTTGGGTCAGAGAAGTATGTAAGCTGGTTGAGCCTCAAGATCATCTGCTCATGAGACAAGCTGGCCTGGAGATGGAGGGAAGGAAATCCTAATACCTGCTCGGAGGTGGCATGCTGGCTCACTGCTCAGAGGAGCCGGGCTCAGCTGCAGTCCTGCCTGCCTCTCTCCCACTTCCCTTCCAGCCCTGCCGAAATCAGCCCCACAAAGATGTGTGGGCAAGCGAGAGCCGTGAGGAAGCAACGGCTGTTGGTTAAAAAAAAAAAATAACATCGATGCTTGGGGAGCCTTCCTTCCTCCCCAGTGTGTGACATTTGCCAACTGACGTTGCATCTAGCCTAGCGGTAGCAAGAGCCAGAGAGGAAATACTCTCCCCTCTTGCCTTCCCTGACGCCAGCACGCGGATTGCACAAGAGAAGGCAAAGGGACGTCTGGCAGCTGTGCTCAGCTTTAAGGTAAAAGAAAGTTTGGTCATCTCCTTTAGGGCAAATAGTATCCAGTAGCCCTTCAGGCTTCTGAGCAAAGCCCCATGGCTGTTCCTCGAAAGAGATCTTCATGCTAGCCCTCGGGGCGAGCAGTGCCTGGTGAATTCCTGCAGCTACCGGGGAATATTTGTCCTCTCCCCTCCCTACCCCAGAAAAGCTTTACATGTGGAACTTGTTAAAGATTTGCCCTGAGCTTGTTTTTTTAAACATAAGCCACGAGTCCGGATGGGCCAAGGAAAACATACCACTGCAGAATACACCTCATCAGCTGCTCAGACGGCACCAGCTTCGCCGCAGCTGCGGCCAAGCGCCTGCGGTGAGCCCGTGGGGTGGCTCGGCTGGGAGGGGACGGCACCCACACGGCCTCGCCAGCCTCGCCGAGCAGGGAAGGGCAGTGTGAGGCCCCGACTGACCAGTGCACCCTCCCAGCAACGCCTCGCCAGTCCCCAGCTGGGGCCGAGTTTACTATAGGTGGGCTATACGTGTGTGTGATCGATACGGTGACAGTGTAATAACCGAAAATTTATTATAGCTGTATGTATAGTCAGCATAATGGATGTTATTACAGCGATGCCATCCGCAGGGCTGTACAGATGTTTATTGCGGCCCCTTTCTTAAGAGCGCTTCGAGCGTGCGTCCCGCCCGGGCTGGGGCGAGGCGCGCGGGCCCTTTAAGAGAAGCCCGCCCTCCCGACAACAGCGCTGACCGCTCAACCAACCTCTCTCCACCGCTCTTCCCCACCAGCCATTGGCCAGTCGGCGCTGAGAGTCCCGCCTTCCGGCACTGCTAGCCAATGGGAGGAGAGCTGGGCCAGAGGCTGGGTTAAGTCGGTGCGTGTGGCCGATGGCCGGCGAGCGGCGGGTCAGTGCAGGGGGCTAGGGACGGGGTTCGCCATGGGGGACGGGCCCGGCCGCCCCTCGGTGCGCGGGGGCTGAGGGGAGAGGGGCAGCGGCCGGCGTGAGGCGGGGACCCGGGCCCCGCCGGCGCTGAGGGGAGCGGGGCCCTGCGGGGATCGGTCCTCCCTGAGGCGCTGAGGGGATCGGCACGCGCTGAGGGGATCGGTCCTCCCTGAGGCGCTGAGGGGATCGGCACGCGCTGAGGGGATCGGCACGCGCTGAGGCGCTGAGGGGAGAGGGGCCCCATGGGGCGCTGAGGGGAGGGGGATCCCCCGAGGCGCTGAGGGGATCGGGTCCCTCCGTGAGGTGATCGGGGTCCCCCCCGAGGCGCTGAGGGATCGGCGCGGGGCCGGGGCGAGCGTCGCGCCGCGCCGGCGAGGGCTGAGGGAGGGCTCGGGGCCGCCTCGCTGTGCCCCGGGCAGGCGGTGCCGGCAGCGGAGCGCCGATCCCGGGGCGAGGGTGCCCCTCTGCCGCAGCGGGAGCGGGAGCGGGGAGGTGGGCTTCTCCCGCCCCGGTGTTGCCGGCAGCCGGTTCGCCGTGTGTGTTGGGTGCGGGGCGGGAGCCAGGCCGGCCCCCGGGGGCTCGGGCGGACGGAGCCCGATTAAAGAAGCGCTTCGGCCCTCCCGGGGTGGGGAAACGAGACGTGAAGTGCGACGGGAGAGCACCCTCTGAGGAGGGCGCTTGCCTTGCAGCTTCTCGAAAGGCAGAGGTGTCCCACAGGAGCGTCCAGGGAGACAGATCGTGGTGTTGGATCTTCAGCTCTTCTAGCAGAGCTGTGACCCAGCCTGCAGCCTGTGGGTGCCATGCTGCGTGCTAATGAAATGCCATAAAACGGTAGGGGTTTCACCATGAGAATCCCTTATGGGTAGATTAAGAGAACGTGGGGTTTTCTTACCTATACCTGACCCTGCTAACAAATTGTGGAACCAAGGACTGAAGGAAAAAAAAAAGTAGCTTCCTAATAACTTGCTGCTGTAGGCCTAGCAGTAATTAAAGTGCTCAGGCAGGTTCTTGTCCTTATACAACAAACTAACCTTGTCATTCAGGTTGCAGTTAAGTGTAGCTTGAGCTGTCCATATTTAAAAAAAAAAAAAAAAGTGCACTTCCATGAAATTAAAATGTGGATTCTTAAAGTGTAGAGAAGTAAGGACTTCTGGAAAGGTGACATGAAGGATAATTTTGATTAGTGTTTAATGTGATTTGGTAGGAGATGTATTGTTATTCCATGGAATTTTTTAAATCATAATTAAAAACTCAAGTGACTCTGCTTTTGTTATGAAATTATAGAAAGTAGTATTTGAGACGTGTAGCAAAGTAGTGTTATGCACTGGTTTGTCCACTGGTAGACAAAAAATGGTTTGAGAATAATCTACCCATTGTTGAAGTTTGTGTACATAACCTTTCTAGTATTTCTGTCAGTGCTGTTAGAATGACATCTTTGGGTTTGCCCCTGAGAAGATCCATGTAGAAGGAAAGCTTTGTCTTTGTGTTCGTGTATGTGCGTGGGTGCAACTACTGTGCTTTTTGTCCATTCTCCCAACTCTTACACGCTAAGAAATAAACACTGGTATTAAGGAAATTCAAAATGTCTGGGTTTTGTTCCAGGTGCTGGTATAAAAGATGAGGCTGAATGAGAACCAGACAAGATCCTTCCAGGCTCCTGTCACCATCCATAACTACCCGGGCAGGCAGGTGTACGTGTTTCCCAACGGCCGATCTGATTCAGAAGAGTCATCAGAGGAGGAGCTCAACGTTACCGAATTGCGACCGAGGGGCAAGGAGCAGCAGCGATGCAGCACTTCTCGGGACAGAGTTGGAGATGTGGTACTTCTGGAACGAGAGATTACAAAGGATGATAATCTTAACAAGCTAGCCCTGCAGTATGGATGTAAAGTAAGAGCTATCTCTGGTTGGTTGGTTTTAATTACTTCAGAGGTATTCCACATGTGGCTTAGTTTCCAGAATTACAGGAAGGTGTGCTGTTGTCTAATAGTTTTGACACTGAAAAGTGTTTGCCCTGTGTATTTCATGAATGGTCAATATCTGGGTAAAACTGATCTGGAGAAAGGCAAAAAAAACCCTAAAACAAACAAAAAAAAAAGAGTTCTTCAGATAACAGCCTAAGAAGATCTTGTCAACCCCATGCACTGTGTGACCTGCTTTCCTGTTTAATTTGGGTGACCTAAGTGCAACATAGCAGTCAAGAGTTGTAAGCAAGGGTAAAAAGTAGGAATCTGAGTACACAAATGAGGGTCAGAGCCCTGCTGTCCAGGTGCATACAGGTTTTGAAGCAAACTGAACAATACAAAGAAATGCTACTCCGATGGTGTCTGGTTTGGGGTGGGGGCGTTTGTTTATTTTTTGAAAGGTATTAGCTGACACATTGCAAGGAAGGTCTAAGTCTAACAGGGGTGGACTTGGAGGAGGCATGCTAAAGTTCAGGTCGCAGAGTCCAGGTGCTGCCTGTGCACATGGGTTTTCATCATTTGCCATCGTGCCCAGAAGCGTGTGCGTTTCAGCGTCTGCAGGGAGCGTGTGTGCACGGTGAATTGCCTCTGGAGTTGGAACATGCTACAAAATAATGTTTTCTTTGTTCCAAAGCAGAGTGCTTTATAGGAAAACTGTTGAAAAGTTCAATTACCTGATCTGAACGTTAGAAGTATTCCATTGTTTAGCAGTTAAAGCTGTATTTTTAGAGCCTCCTTTATCTGCAAGCTAGACTGATTAAAAAGTTCCATGATGCAAACAACTGGACAGTGACCTGGATGGGGATAATGATACAGTACTGGCTCAACTGCTGCAATACTACTGCAGTCTGTCTTGCTTAACCACACAACAGCTGTGTGGTACAGCTGAAGCAAGAGGGCTTAAGAGGAATTGCAACAATTCCTCCCCTCCCATTCCCTTAGAAACAAAAACAAAACAAAAAAGAAACCCTTCTAGGTTCTGATGAGCCTGACACGTGTGAAGAAGGGAGTCTGGTAGGACTTGAATAGGCCTTGATTGGCTCCGGTAGAGCCTGAGAACTGGGAGCTGCAGAGACTTTGTAGTTGTGACTCTGTGCTCCTCTCAAAGCAGTAGCATTTGCGTCGCTCTTGTCACTTACTCAGGATCACAGCAGTTGGGTGAACTCGAAGGAGGAAGATTCTGAACAATTCTTTTGGTTTCTGCCTGCTGTGCTCCCTGTCCTGTAACTCGGGAGGACTCAGTCCTGTCCCTGCCGTGACCGTTCCTCTGCCGCCCCACTCCCGGAGCCTTTCAGCCCCAGCAGCATTGGGTAGATTTACTCTGTGTGCCCTGCTGAAGGCTGCTGGGCTTGTCCAGGGGCGAAAGCAGGCTGATGGGGAGGGACCAGGTAGTCAGTGTTCTCCTCCCACGGGAAAAAAAATTGTCCTGCCTGCCTCCCTTCCAGAAAGGGCACATCTGACTTGTTCCAGTTAAATTGAAGAGGTACAGAAATCCTTATTACTGGAGATTTGTGTATTTGTCTGTTTGCAGACTGGCACTGGTCAGTTTTCATGTATTGCACTTTACTTGCTCAATAAAGCAGCTCCTGAAAGGCTACCAGGACATCAGCAAGGAAGATTTGTAGCCACAAATATATGTGACTGTTTTAAAAAAATCCAGGATGAACTTCTCCTTGAAATTAGTGAGAACTTGTCATTGGTCTCAGAATCGTCAGGGTCTACTTGAGGCTGGGGGTGTTAAGACAGTGTAACAAATAGCTTCGTGTGTGCTACAGATAACAGGGCTGAGATGCAAAACCCTTCAAAATTCTCATTTTTACTCTTGACCATTTATAGCCCTGTCCTGCTTTTGGCATTGTTCTTAGCTGGGACAAGAGGAGCTCACTGCAGCCAAAGAAATGAGTACAGAAAATAAGCCCAAATGGCTTGTGCAGTGAATGCTCTTGCGTGCTTCCCAGCAGCTTTGTTTGTTGTTCTTCCATGAGCACCGCTCCACTTTCTGTTTCTAGAGCCTTAGCACAACACTGCAGTGTTTGATTGCAGACACTGCTGGGGGTATTTACTGTGCCAATAATTTGTTTTCACTGGAACATTGAAGCACCACCTCAGTTAGGAGGCTTGGGGTGAGACTGTTATTTCACAACTAAATAATTTTGCGGGGTTTAAATCCTCATGTTACACTGGGGTAAGATGTGAGGAGTCTGAACCAGCAATTGAGGATTCCTCTTGCCTCAAGGGCACCAGATTAGGATCAGGATTAAACGCCCCCTCTTCAGATTTCTCAAATTTTGCAGAATAAGGTGAGATTCAGGCATGCATCTCATCTCTCCCTTTCAGCAGAGTCTTGCTTTCTGGCCGTGCCATAGCAGACTTGCCACCTTCCAGGGTCCCCAAGAGCCTGTGCGGGCTGGAGGGGAGATGCAGGGTGGAGGCAGAGCCAGTGCAGCTCCTCTCCTGTGGCTCCACGCGTGTCTCCGGCCGTGGGCGTGGCCTGCAGGGAGGGAGGGCTGCTCCTCGGGGGAGCCACCTCCCCGGTCCTGGCGGCAGCACAGCCTGCAAGCAGCCCCCGACGTTTGTTGAAACGGCAAAGGAGATGTTCAGGCTCCCTGCTGGTGTGTTTGTGTATTGTCTTTTAAAAGGAGACCGTTGCCCTGAACTATCAGTGACTTTGGCGCTGCTGGCACTTGCACGTTCGCTTAGGCAGTAAAGTGCTTTCTTGGTTTTCATTCCCCAGATTCATTGGTAGCCTGAAGCTTATGAGGGTGCAGTGAATGCAGTTTGTACAGTTCATTTATGAGATTTCTAAAAGAGCAAATCAACCTTTCTCTGAAAGTGCAGTCCTTGTGCTGTGTCTATTCCACATATCAGAAGTGGTTAACCTGTTCGTGTTGCCTTTCTCTGTGGTTTGGGGTCCTGCTGTTTTCTTTCTTTTGCATCCTTCGGCCTTTCCCTCGAGGTTCTTTCATGTCTCCTTGGCTGTTTTGGAGAGCACCTTATACATGTTGACAGTCCTGTTTGTTTTCTTTGACAGGTTTTAGAGCAACAAGTTCATGTACTTACTTACTAGGTGGTTGTGAGTGGACACTGTATTAAGCTGTCTCCTTTATTTAACATTAAATAAAGAAATGCCTCCTTGCCATTGTCTTTTGTTTAATACCAGCTGTCCTTGTGACTTTGCTGTACGTATGGTTTGTTCTTTCTTGCTCTTCTTACTGCTGTTTGCATCACCGAGCTGGATGGGAAAACTGCTCACAGATGGGAACCCTGCACAGGAACCACCAGAGATGGGCACAGATGCACGGAGACGATTGCTGTAAGCGCTCCTTCGCGGAAGCATCTACCAGCTGTGGAGGAATGAGCTGGGTGGAGCTGCGGTCGGGCAGAGGAGGGGTGCTGCTCGGGAGCACGAGCAAAGGATGGGGGCGAGACCCCGGCCTGCTCTGCCTGGCTGGGGTCTTGCTTTTCAAACAGCCACACGCTCCAAAGGTGGAGCTCCGCTCACTCTGAAACCACCTGCTGAGCAGGGGCAGGGGTTTGCCTGCTCAGACTGGTCGTGCCCTCACCTTCCCCACTTGCGCGTTGTTTAAGGGATGACAACTCTTTTAAGAAGGATCTGTTTATAAAGACTCTTCTTGCCTTGGATTAGAAAGCGAGAGAAGTGTTAAGGAAGCAGAAGGAAGGAAAAAACGCATTAAGCAAAATATAGCTTATGAGAGCTACAGGAGCACTAGAGGAGGTTACAGGCTGGTTTGAGGGGACTCTCTGTGTCCAGCTGGTGCAAAACACTGAGCCACTTGCAGCCAGGGGTTGCTTTTCTTTTCCGACTGCTGCTTACACACTAGCTTTGAGCTGCTTCCTGCTTCACTACTGGGTTGTCCTACACTGATGTTTCTGTCCTTTTTGGCTTCTGTAGGTTGCAGATATCAAACGCGTCAACAACTTCATCCGGGAGCAGGACTTGTACGCCCTGAAGTCCATCAAGATCCCCGTGAAGCCCCACGGGCTGTTAACGGAGAACGGCAGGGAACTAAAGCTGCTCCCGCCTGCGCCCTCCCAGACCGGCCTGACGCTCGTGGACTTACCGGAACCCGAGGAGGGGGCGAGCAGCCCTGCCGACGGCAGGCACCTCAGCGACTACTTCAGGGGGATAGACAAGAACATCCAGGACGCGGTGCAGGCAGAGGTCCAGCTCGACGCGGAGTATTGCCTGGAGGCGCTGGAGAGGCCGCTGCCCGAGTCAGGGAAGCAGGAGACCAGCAACGGTGCGGACTGTGGAATCCAGTGGTGGAACGCCGTTTTTATTATGCTCCTGATAGGAATTGTCCTGCCGGTATTTTATATCATCTATTTTAAAACACAAGGCCTGGTGGCCCATACCTCCAATGCAACGCTCACCTCAAATATTTCAACAGATGGATTGGAAGGGAAATTACCACAAAGCTCAGTTGTAGAAAAAAAGTCCTAAGGGGGTAAAGCCGCCAAATGCAGCCTCTCCTCCCAGCACTGAAGCCCATACGCCAGTGACTGACTCAAGTGTGTTCAGGGGGATAACAATATAGATTATTTTTATTTTTTTAAGTAGCTGCTGTTGTAATCCTGAACTTGACAAAGTGAGGTGATACGATTTTTATGGAAAAATAAGGATGCTTTGTTGCTTACCAGGATTGTCAGGCAGCTGGCTTAACATTTGTGAACGCTGTTGAGGGAGAATATTTTGTAGCAATTTACCCATCTTGGTTCCTTCAGGTATTTCTTAATGCCTTGTAAGAAGGGAATCCTTTGCTGCTGAGATAGAGTACAGTATTAATGTGATCGGAAAGTTGGGGGTTGTTTGCATTTTAAGAAAACACTTTGGCTTAGAATGGAAGCAGGGACTCCTCTTTTTCTCTGAACTGTCATTTTTATCTCTCAGAGACCATGGCACTTTTGGCATACTTAGCCCTAAAGCGATGACTTTGAGTGTGTTAGGTTAGGTGCGCCGCGGCACGAGCCCGCTGACAGCACCTCACCAGTTCAGCTTTCTGAGCACAGGTTTAAGCTGTGTTGCTTAGGCTGCTTCAAGCCCACCACAGGGAAGGGTGAGCCCAGGCCTTCTGGCCCGGGTGAATCCTTTGGAGACTTCCCTCGGCAGCTGGTGTCTCTGCAGGCGCAGCTCCGTGCGCTCGCGGTCAGCGTGGCCCCGGAGCACTGGAGGAGGACACGAGGGTGGCGTTAGGCCTGTGGTACGTGGTGTGCGCTCAGTGCTTGGGGAGAGAGGTCTAGCCAGTATTACTTTAAAAACAAACAGAAAAAAAAAAAAAATCCATAATGGGGCAACTCAAACACCCAGTTTTAGTCATGGACTTGAGTTTCCTTGGGTGTAGTCGCCAAGTGAGAGCATTCATTCCCAAGTTGCATTTAATTTGCAAGGTCCAGGAAAGCCGCCCTGCGTTACCTTGGGCACGTGAAGAAGGCTAAAGCCTTTAAAGGATGGCGACTTGGAAGCTGCTGAGCGTTAAACGTGTCTGTGAGCTGCTGACGCTGGTATTTAAAAGCTTTTGTGTAGGCAAGACCAGCAAAGCTTCGGGGGCTGGTGGTGGCCCGAGCTGCGGGTGAGCCCGAGGTCAGAGCTGTGCGGGACGCGTCAGTACCAGCTGCGTGCTGGACGTGAGCGTAAGATGAGGCATGGGGGAGCTTTGCTGCAGAGAAGGCCATGCCTCAAAAATATAATTCAGCGGCTTCAGACGCTGCGGGCAGAGAGGAAAACGCGCCTCTAGAACTAAACACTAAGGTATTTTGCAGCACCGGTACGTGAAACCCACCGGGGCTGGGGTAGCGTGGGAGAGCAGGAGCAGCCAGGGGCGCGGGGCCGGCTGCGGCCCCGTGAGGGTCCTGCGGGGCTGAAGCCGCTGCCCGGCCTCCCCCTCCGGCTGGGCACGGGCGCAGGGCCGAGCCGCGGTGGCGGGGCAGGGGCCGGGCAGCCCCCCAGCACCCCCGAGGTGGGTGATGCTGGCCCTGCCGCGCATCGACGGGCGAGTTGCTGCTTTGGGTTTTTTTGGAAAGCTGCGGCGGCCCAGCGCTGCAGGCGGGGTGGGGGAGCGGGACCGCGGCCCCCGCCAGGTGAGCGGCACCCTGTGGTGGTGCACCAACCTGTGGTTCCTGCAAGCGTCAGAAAACGTGCTCAGGAAAGCATGAGAGAACCTGGTTTTGTAACAGAGGACTCTAAAGTATCTTATATTGAAAAAAAAACCCCAACCTTGTATTTTCCTTCTGTGAAGGAAATGTATCTCTTTGTTCTATGGGAGGGGGGTTTTAGTACATTTTTAAATAAAGCAAAATGAAATAAAAGCACAAGGGGCACCACCCACCCTGACAGCTTGTGCATTTTTTAATTTTTTTTTGTCTGTCCCCCCAGGGAGCAGATGCTGTGGCACAGCTGAGCACACCTGCCTTGCTGTGGCTCCCCTGACCCGGGAGCGAGCAGGAGCTCTGACCACCTTTCCCTGCCAGGGTTTCTCTCCTGCAGCAGCTGTGTCAGAGCCCCTCCTGCTGCAGCCAGCTTGGGGCAGCTGTTTCCCCCCAGCTGGTGCCCTGCACCTGCCTCAACCCCCCACCAGGGACTTCTGCAAATTTCTGTAAGTGCCATAGAATGGGGTTCTGCGAGAGCGTCCCTTCTTCCTTTGAATGTAGTAACAAAAGTAGGTGTAGCCCGAATAATCCATCTCGATGAAAAGAATCCTCACTGCAGTTTAAAACCAAACTTCAAAACTGCATCTGGAGAGTATTTCGGATGTTGGGGGGCGGGGGGGCAAAGCTCTGCAAATAAGAGAGAGGCCGGAGTACACAGTAAAAGCCAGTATCTTTACTTTAGTGAATGCAGGATACAAATATTTTACAACAACCTCTAGCATTTTCTTAACCATTTGATAAAAAGTTCACTAGAATATTTATTGTATATTGAAGAAAAAACAACACATTCAGGGAAAAAAATTGAGATTAACTTATTTTTTTCTTAAAAGATTCGTCTCAAGGATGGCAACAAAGTCCAGCTTGTGCCGCCAAACGGCTTATCATCATTAAACCGTGAACAGCTTCTTTGTGAACTGTTGACTACAAACATTTACCAAATACATAAATCTCTTTTAAAAAAGCCATTTTAAATATAGCAAAGCAGTGTTCTCTTGCACAGCAAAGTGAAGAAAGTTTCTACTAAGATTTAAACGTTTACATTTGTTAAGTCTTTCTTTCACATTCTAATTTAACTTCTTCCCATGATCAATTGTTAGGAGTTATTTTGTTCCTTATTTACTATGTATTTCTTGTGCGCACAGTAATTCACAAGTTTCTGATGCATTAGTGTCCTTTAAGGGAAAGGAAAGGCTAAAGCATTGTTCTCTGAGGAATCCCTGATAACTTGTATTTTTAAATACTATAGTGAGAGCTCGAAGATGGAGAGAGGTGATTGGTCACAATAGAGATAAAAATCGTGAATCGTTCAGACTCGAATGGGTCCAGGCTGGGATCGGATCCGCTTGCAACTTCATTCAGTCTGGTTAATTAAAAAAAGTATTTTTTTACCTGTTGAAATATCTGTGCTATGTCATCATTTTTTTTTTTTTTATAAAACATTTTTACAATTCCTAAAAAAGTATGTTCCAAAGTCAGTTACTTGTTATTAAAAATCAGGATTCCTGTTTCTGCGCGGGCAGGAGATTCTCCCCTGCCAGGGGCTGGCTGGGGCCACTTGTTCTGCTGAGCTGGGGGAGGGGGCAACATGGAACAGGCCCCTCGGCAGCTCTTAAGAACAGATTTTTTATTTTTTTTTTAATTCATTGGTGCAATTTCAATACAAACTCTAACCCTTATGTAGCTTTTTTCTTTAAGAAAACAGTAATTGTACTGTTTAAAAACCTGCATAGAAATAAAGACTATTGAGATACAGTCAGCAAAGCCATCTTATAAGGCACACAAGAAAATAGACAGTAAATGTGAATGCAGAACTCCCACTCAGATGTACAGCAAAGTTCATATATGTGCATAAATAATGAAAAAAATCACATAACTTTCCAGAGCATTAAAAGGTTCTCTGAAGTGGTAAGTGAATTCAGTCGCTTTGGAAAAAGACTTGCCATTAGAATGAGTCTCGTTTTCCTCTACGCTGCCGTCAACCGGTAACTAACTACAGTAAATGGAGAGTAATTTCCAAAGGTAAGTGGCTGAAACGAATTGAAACCTGTATGTTTTTTACAAGTTACCATGACGACAGGAGATGGGTTTTTGGAAGCTGTAGGTACTGGCTTTGTTCTTCAGTCACACGTTAAAGCAGAGGACATGCTGTCCCCCTTGGGTTTCCATTTCTCACACTTCTTAGTTCCAGCATCAGGTGATTTTTTTTTTTAAATTACAAAGAAGAAAAAAATTAAAGAGTTTTGATAGATTATTTAACAGCTATCAGGGATAGCTTTAGAGGAGTTGAGATAATCAACCAGCACTGTAGTTTCTTCCCCAGGAGCAGCAGGAGCGGGGCCAGGTTTAGGGGCAGGTCCTGGCTGTGGTTCCCCGCCCAGGGGGGCGCAGGGAAGGGCCGAGCCCCCGGCCCCGGCAGCTCCCAGCCCCCAGCCCCAGGTTTTGGCTCCTGAGACTTCAGCGGCTTCAGCCCGGCTCTCCCCGGCCACAGGCCGGGGCTCGGCCACGATGGGCCTCGGGCTTCCTCGCTCTGTTCCGTGGAAGCAGCAAAGAGGAACAGCAAATTTATTTCGAAGGCTGAGACTTTATCCCAAACCACTTACCGACTCAAAAAACCTTTTGTGCTCATCTGATATGTGTTATCTCCCTATCATGAGAAATTAGGTCAAGTTTTTCCACTGTTTTTTTTTTTCTCCTCAGAAGAGGCAGCTTTAAAATGATGCCTTAAAATGTGTTGTAACAGATTTTTTATATTTATGCAGGATGAACTTAACACCAGAATTTTTTTTTGCCACTTTGCTATTTATATACATATATATAAAATGTATAATGAAGCTTAACCATACAGCACAGAGATTACAATTTAACGGCACACATTCACCACCAGTGAGGGGGACAACCCCTTTATACACCCTCTGAAAAATCTGGATAATAATATTAATAATAATTAAAATCCAAAGAAAGTACAGTATATTTAACAAAATAGTAAATATTAAACAGTGAATACTCTACTTAATAAGGACCTCGCCTTTTTTCAAGTTGGCGTCAATCCACAAAAATATACTTTTTAATCTGGTGAACGTACAATACATAGGTACTTACACCAAAGGTGATAATATATTTAGGATGCTATATACACAAAGAGTTTGGCTCAAATTTAAATTTACATATAAGTGTTCATGGCTTATTTTTCCCCCAAGGTTCCGCCTGCAAGTTTTTCCTTTTCATCTTTGAAAGCAAAAACTAGAAAGTCAAAATAAGATAAAACTATACTCTACAAAAAAGCTACAACATACAGCTTTGGCTTATATAAATAATTCATAGCAGAATGTGTTCAAAAGTACTGTATATAACTTTATATATAGTCTTCAATTCATTAGGGTATTGTTTTCTTTAATATAAAATATACATGAGCTAAAATCCGTTTCTATATTTTTCAAAGGTATGAACGTAAAAACAAATTTGTCAAACATATTCCAATTATAACTTAATATATTAATTTTATTTTGTTAATGTTCTATTTTCTAGGCTAGTATTTTCTGAATATTTCATGCGAGTTCTCTATGTCTCTCTTTCACTCATTAAAAAAATCACTTCTTTGACCCAATACACTATTTTTTTTTTTTTTCGCACGTGCAAAACAGGGTTTTTGTTTATTTATTTATTTATTATAGCATCAGCCCTTCTCCATGCACCCTCTGCAATAGAGACCCATGCCAGGTTGGGTAATATAAAGGTCATTTTATGTACAGTATTGCTTTCTTCTTCCTGCTTTTCTACTGCTCTGCTGCTACAAAGCATTATTTCTTAACTACAAGTAACCATACAGCTTGAATAAAACACACAGGGACATTACTACAGGCGAGCCCTCTTGGTTTCTGCAATCTAGTGTGGTAGGATTATAATGCGGGTACAATGTTTCCTTGCAAAACAGGTTATATTATTAAAACAACAAGTCCAGGTAAGTGCCAGACTAGATCAATACCTACAGGATTGTTCTGTTACGTTTTACCATGGGACATCTGCAGCTATACAAGAAGTTTGTCGTAAGTGCCTGATGATTTTGTGTATGCTACACACACTAGCACATATATATGCATGTGAAGATATATATATGCATGTATGTATATACATATAAATATACTCATTTCACGTCCTTATTTATAAATTTAGATATGTCAGGACAGTTCATTTTGAGAACACAAAACTGAAGAGGCAACACTGCACGTTTATGTCACCCACGTGTCCATCCTCATTCGTTTTACCGATGGACTCTCTCTATCTTCTGAATTCGGTGGCCGCCCCAGCACGACGGGCGAATGGAAATCGCTCCTCGGGTCCTCCCGGTCGCTGCCGTCGTAGGAGCTGCTGGAGCTGCTGAGGCTGTCGACGGGAGAGCGACCCAGTTCCTGTCGCGACGGCGGCGGCGGCGGCTGCTGCTGGGGCTGCTGGGGCTGCTGCGGGAACCCAGAGGGAGTTACGCGGTCCCGGGGAGGTGAAATTGGTTCGGATTTTATGTTGATGTTTTGGTTGGTATTAATGGATAAATTTGAACCCTGAGATAGCTGGCTGCCAGTACTGGGGAGAAGAAAACCAAAAGGCAGAAATAAGAAAAACACGAAAAAGGAAAAGGAAGTGACAATTCATGTGTGACGGTGTGACAGTCTTGCGGTTCAACACCCTCAACAAATGCAACTTACTGAAGCGAAGCGGCAAAGCTGAAAAAAGCATTACCGGAAGGTCTGAACGCATTTATAGAAGTTAAAACCAAACAGAAAACTATTCCCTATTTCAAACATTGAAGTTGCTCACGCAGGTGACTCTGCGGTAAGCAGCTGCGCCAGCAGGGACACAGCCTGGCACCTCGAGCCCCGAACTGACAGAAGGGACAAACGACATGAAACGCGAATGCTTCTGCAGCCAAGGAGCAAACTCGACTGGCAACGCCCCGTCACCAGCAGACCAGGAATTCAAATGGCCTGGTGCTAAATATTCCCCAGCGAGGGTTACTCAGCTTGAGGGGGCAGAAGTCCCCGACGGGGCGCAGCTCGGTAACGTCGTCGGACGTACTTACACGAGAGAGCTGAGGGCTGCCGGACCGAGGTGGTGCTGCTGCCAGGCAGAGACCTGCCCCAAGGACAGCATTCCCGGGGAGTTAAACCCCTGCAAGGCAGACAGGTCTGCACTAGTCAAGGAGTAATCTAAGAGGGAAAAACAAATAAACAAGAAAGTAGTTTATTGATTTTATACACATACGTATATATATATATATACATATACATATATATATATATATAAAAACACAGGAAAATATATGTGATATGTACACACACGCATGCATGCACACACACACAAATATAAAGGCTTTCTGCCCAAAACAAATGAGGGCAAGTGACCCAAAGGAGTCCAAACATGGAAACTTGGGGGGCTGGAGCAGTCCTCCTACATTCGCAAAGAGCTTAACAGGACACAAGCATCCGAATGACAAGGGTTTTTTTTCCATTCTGCTTTCAATTCCTACATGTTGCTGTCTCATATAGCTTCTAAATACACAGGTACAACATATTTATGCTTTTCTTTTTATATGTGTGTATGTATGTATATATATATATATGCATCTTATACTAAGACAAGTATTTGCATTTGTGAAGACTTTTGTCTGCATGGAAATTTCAAAATTAAACAAAAAGGGAAGAATTCCTACAAGTCATTAGAGAGGACTGGTGTTCCTTGCACTGGATTTACTAAAGACATCCCGCTGTGGTTCGGTTCCCAGGCAAGAGGCAGCAGACAAGACACAGAGGCCGTGTGGCCGGCTCACGTCACCCTGCAGCTCAGAGTCCTTGAGCCTCTGTCCAAAACCGCGCCGGGGAGCAGCGCCGGCCGCTGCTGAGGCAGGCACAGGGGCTGCTGCGGGCAGCGGGGCGGGCAGGGCAGGGGGTAGGGGCAGGGGGAGTGGGCAGGGGGAAGGGGCAGGGGGAGCGGGCAGGGGCAGGGCAGGGGCAGGAGCAGGGGGAGCGGGCAGGGGCAGGGCAGGGGGAAGGGGCAGGGGGAGCGGGTAGGGGCAGGGCAGGGGGAAGGGGCAGGGCAGGGGCAGGGGCCGGGTGCCCGAGGGGTGGCACCACCCGAGTCACTGCAGCCTCAGCGCCCCTCTGTTCCCTCCGGTTGTGTCTACCGTGAGGCATCATATTCTCCCTCTCCCTACAACAGTTTCACTCGTTACTTTGTGTCTGATTAAACTGTCACTTCTGGATCAAATAAACAAAAGAAACCTCCTTATTTAGAACAAAACTAGAATTATTTAGAAATACAACTTAAATGGATAATAGAAAATACAATATATTCTGAATCAGCAGTCAGCGACCAGCTGTTAGCTTTGGCTATAATGCAGACAGTTCTCACTCCATTCACAGAGGTGGTTATTTTCACTTTATCACTCATGCTTTTCTTTCAGGTTTTAAAACAAAGCCACAAACAACACTTCTCTGCTTTTAATTATTTTGCAATATAGCTTCCTTAGAATAATTTCTAGTCTCTTGAGAATGCTACAAAATGCTAGCAGCCAAACTTACTTTATACCGCCAGCAGATGGACCAAAAATTCTGCTTAAGTAGGGTTTGTCTTTTGCTTTGGTTTGTGTTTAGGTGTTTTGGTGGGGTGGGTTTGCTTTTTTGGGGTGTTTGGTTTGTGGTTTTATTTTTTAGTATTGTCCTAAAATGACACCACCAATATGCTTTATCTCTCTTGAGATAAGCTTTCTTGAACAATTTCCCTATCCCCATCCACCAGCTTGTTTGCTGGGGACACCTTCTAGGTTTCCCTCTTACCAGCCCGCCGTGCAGGCGAGCCCGGGGCCACGGGGCACTGTGCTTTTCAGAGATGCACCGCAGCATGTGGAGCTACTTAAACTGCCTTTTTGTTTCTTCTCAGTTGAATTTTCTTGGAACTCTGAAAAACCTTCCCGAGTATTTCTAAACAGATTCAGAAAGATTTTTACCAAGCTGATTGATCCAAAGCTCTTTTGCAAAATAAAACTAAGAGGGGAGAAAAAAAATACACAGCCCTTCAATGACTGGGACATGCACTCAACCTTCAAAGCAGCCAGACCTATGACAACCTGCAAGCATAGGAAATGTAAACACGAGATGGATGTGCTATCCTGTGCCAGTGGGATTTCTGTAAGAGCAAATCTGGAGAAAATGTTTATAGGAATGCAGTTACCATGTATTTTTTTCTTTGCAATTATAGCTTTTATGATAATGGACAATTCACTTCTGGTACTTTAGAGAGTACATGTCTGGTGATGGGGGTTTGAGGAGATACTTTTCCAAAGAATACATACACCACCACACAATTAGCTGCGCTGTCATTTCCCCAAATAATCATATATCTGCTGGCAGTAAAAGCTGGACACCCAATTTCACCGACGAGTGACTCGATGGAAGATGGAAAAGTCGTATAGACAAGAGTGCCTTCTGTATGATGGAAACCATCGCTGCTGTGACCCTAACAACAAGACAGCTTTGAAGTCTGTGCCTCTGCAAAATAACTGACCTAAAGCAGTAGTATAATTTATGGCTAGATACGCTCTGCTCAAGTGTAAGTTACTATTTAACTGATCTCTGTGGTTTCTGAATATTTTTTTAAAATGCCTCGACTGTTTTAGAACAAGTAACTCGGTTTGTTCTGGCACTTTCTCCAGTAATCTGTAGGAAGAATGCTTCTCCAGCAAAACAAATTACATAAAACAGTGTATTTGTGAAAAACTGATATCCGACATTTTAATTAAGGATCTAAGAGCTGAATCTATCCCTTCCAGCCCTGAAAAAAACCCTATCAATCCAGAAAAACAATTTAGGTATCTAAATTTTATTTTAGTCCTTGAACTGCAAAACTGAAATAGCTACCTAAGTGGTGACTACCTTGAGAAAACCCAGATGACAATTTGGTTTCATCATCAAATTTCTTTTTGCAAATCCCCTGAAAGGCTTAATCTAATAGAAACAATTTTGAAGTGTCTGAAAAACACTAAAGGCTAAAAGCTTTTCACAAATTATTGCATTACCAAAGGAAATGAGCTGTTTTTTAAAATTATATCCCAGTGATAACAGCACGTGTCCACTGCGTAGGACACCAGTTGCAATTGTCTTTGCTGCTTCCTGAGATTCAGACTGCGGCCCATCGCGTCTTTTTGATTTTTTTAGCCTGTTTTAGCCATCAGCTTACAGGTTATTCTGGATGAGGGATACACGCTACACTGCTTCCTGAAACAACGTCAGGCTGCATGAGAGAATGAAGGGATTGGTTAGGTGACAGGTAAAACTCAATGTGGGTCTTCTGAGCAGGGCCCAGAACTACTTATTTATTTGCAACAGTCATTAAATGCAATATATAAATAATCTTAGTGGCAAGTATCAAACCAAGATCTGTATGTCCAGCAAATTCGTGCTTAAGCTTCTAATCCAAAGCAAGTCACCAGGCACAACTCTTCACTCTGCTCATTCTACTGTTACTGCAACCCCAACTTCTTCATTCATTTCTTTAGACTTTAACCCCCCCCCTCAGGGTGGCGATTACTTGCATAAATGTTCAACAATTTAGTTGGGTGCTACCGCAGAATAAGTATTTACTGTTGCTGATGACTAAACAGTCCCTCTCAAAATGCAAGTCTGATGCTGCCAGTGCCAGCCTGGGGCAGCACCTCTGAGGGAAACCAATGCAGAAAGTGGCTGAAGGGCAGTAAATACTCGTTAATGAGCACAGTAATACAAAGATACAAATGCAAAAAGGTGTGAGCTGATTGGTTGGGAGATGGCTACAAGTCTACACTAAAAACTGTAGTGAAGATTTTCAAAGCAAAAAAGAAGTAGAAGAAAATGTATAAAATCCCATCTTTAGGGGGGGGAAATGATCATGACTGGGTGGCTGCTCTATCTGTTCCATCTTCCAACATCACCGACACCTGACGGTGCCACTCCTTGCAGAAAATGAAGAAGATTGCAAAACCTCTGTATCATTCAGATTCTGTTTTCTACAAACCTTGAAGGTTTTTTTCGATTTGTCCTGACCTTTGCACAAGAGCAAGAGCACTGGGTCACTGACAATAGACCAGTGCAGCTTTTTTTTCCCTTCCTTAAATACATTACAGCAGAGGCACCACCAGCGTCGCTGTCGGCTCCAGGCAGCAGCAGGTACCTTTTGAAGGCGGCTGATGACTGCTGTCTGACACGGGGGCAGCTCCTGACCTGCTCTCCAGGAAGCCACCCCCGCAGCACACGTGTGTCCCCTTCTCCCCCGCCACTACCAAAACTTTGCCCCATAAACCCAACATGGTGGCTCCTTAAGGAAAAGAGATTTATTCCTTCCTAGTACAGCCCCCGCTGCCTCCCGGGTTCCCGAGCATCTCACGCCTGCCAGCTGCTCATGTACACAGACACCACAGGTCGAGGGGAGAGACGCTACTGGGGAACCTCTACTGGAGGTGTGGATCTTCCTGGATTCACAGAAAGAAAAGAATAATCCTCTCAGGCCCTTCTGCCTAGCCAGAGTTGATTGCTGTACATGGAAGCTGTCTAGCGTAGCTCTGTTCCTAAGAGCTATGACTGCAGAAGAGAAGGACGATTTTTCCTTTTAATTTTTTTAGAATTTGAAAGCCTACCAAAGAAGACTTAAACATTGCCAATACAGTGGTCCCCAGTTCAGAAATTCATGTTTTAACAAATTATAGCACTTACATTTGAATGTCTTAACTAGACTTCATCTAAAAAGAACAGTGAGCTGGGGAATTATTTCGTTTGTTTTCCTTTTTAGTTTTGACCAGCAGCTATTTTAACTGTACTTGCAAAATTTATTGACACTTATCTGCAATGTAGTTTCTCTGCAGGTGCGTTTGAAAATTAAACTATGCATCACAGATCACTGGTAATCAACCTGACACCATCAAAGCTGCAGCCTTTCAAGGAAGTGATTACAAAAATTCCTTCACTGATTACACGCAGGGTCTGTAACAAATAAAGAACCTTGAGATTCAAGTCAAAACTATCTCTATGGGTATGGAGGTACCACATCATGAACTACTTTCCAAACTGGCACACCAATTATCACTTGTATTACTGAATTCCTTTCATCACACTCATCTTGGATAAAAAGTAGTTTTAAGGTCCTTCAGATAATAGAGACTTGCAGTGGAGAAATGCTGACCCTGCCTTCCCGTGTGTCCCCACCTCAGTCTCGATAAAACTACTGAAGAGGAGGAGGCCCTATCCGGGCTTTTTTGAAAGTCGAAAGCCCCGGTAGAATTCGATTCCCTCCTGCTGCTGGAACTGAGCAGAGCAGAACAAAAGGGACAGCATGCTCTGAAGTATCAACTATCGCTTAAACGTGCGGCATTTCGGTTCTCAGATGGATAGCCTGAGGACTGCTGCTAGAAGCAATGCATTTCATTGTCTGTCTCTCTGCACTCAGCTGTGTGCAACCTGACTGACTGAAAGCTTCTTCCTTATCTCAGTCTCAACATTTACACATTTCACAAGCTAAAGGCTCATTTTTGATGAATAAGAGCCTTCATTTGAACTGAATAGGAAAATAAAGTGAAGTGTCACAGATATGCAGATTTATTGGGCCTATGAATCACAAAAGCCTTGTACATCTGACAAATCAAGCCACTGATTAAAAACAGTGCTTACCAGTGTTGTAGGCAGTAGGCATGGCCGAATACACCAATCCCTGCGGAGGCAAGCTTGGAGTTGTCACAGACACCACAGGGGTAGCAAGAGGCTGTGTAGACTGAGAACTACTTATCCTTTGGGTATTCTACAAATGATTAAAAATAACGTGTCTTGTGATATCAGCTAGAACAATGGAAAATTAAGTGCTAATATAAAAATAGCATTCGATTCAAATGTGTTTCTCTGTTTTGCTTTTTACTTACAAATACATACTTTTTGTCAGGACAGATTTTCTAAACAAGCCAAAACATTTCAAGACCACCAAAATGATCTTGGCAAACTGAAATGACAAATTAATTAAGACTCACTGGTTCGCTTCCCGTGCATGCAGATTTCAATAGTGTTAGAGTTGTAGGACATAAAAACATATGCAATTTCTCAGGGATATGCACAACAATTCTCAGAAGTTCTTAAGTGATTTAAGAGTTTTTCATCTTATTTTTTAAAGGAGTTTTAGTGCAGATGGTGAGGTGCAGTTCCACCAGAAAAGTCTCCCACTTCCCAGTTGTTTATCCAATTTTCAAAATTTTAGCTGCCAGTTTTGACACTCTGCTGACTACACCTGTCCTGAAAGGAACACAGAGATCTTCTAAATTTGTGTTGATAAGACTTCAGTGATAAAATAATCTTGCTGTTCCCATGGTTCCTGAGAAACTGAGAGAGTACTTGTTATAATGCAGATATGTTTCAAAGCAAATGACATTTGAGTTCACACAGAGCAACTGTGCTTTTTGACAAGAAAAATAGCTGAACTAGATTGTCTCAGATTATCTAACTGTAGGCACAATGTGGCTTTTTAATAACAGTCTTTCTTTCCCATATACCACAATGAACATCTGCAGCAAACATATCACTCACATTAAACTCTTTAACCAAATTTGCTGTTTAGAAAACCTTGTATTAAACACTGTGGTGAATACCACCAGACAGCAAAGCTGCTCTGTCACAGAACATACTACTCTTCATGGAGGCAACTTTAAATCTGTCTTCAAAATATGCAGTTCAGCACCATTTAGCCATGACAGATACTGTCAAAAACAGGAAATGCTACATTTTTTTTTATTTATTTTTAAACAACAGGTACTTAGTTTTACCTACAGAAGTCTTAGAAATACTAAAAGTAGTAGAAGTCTCCACACCCGATATTTCTACATTCTTACAGAACCACTCCCCATTAAGGGAGCTAGATTTCAAACCTACGAAAATATGTTTTTAAAGCAAGTCTGTATCTCTGAAATAAATACTTGCTACAAACGTAGCAGTTCCTCATCTCCCTAGTAGAGTTCCAATTCCTACCTTTAAAAAATTGAAACTACTACTACTTTTTTTCTTATTTTGGACAGGTATTACAAGTATTTCAGTATCTGCAGCACTACTCTGACCTTGAGAGAGAGAGCAGTATTAAAAATGCATGATTCCCTTTATAATAGCGGAATGAACAGGTACAGAAACAGGGCTGTGTTCAATTTTAAGCTAAACTTGCAAAGATGAATGGAGGGTTATCAATCCTTGGCTTGTATCTTTCCAATTTAAAGAAAAAAGTATATCACAGCCACTTCATTAAAATTAGCTACAACCTTCTCCTGGCTACCAGCTTCTGGCCCCTCTTCTGTGGGGCTGCTGTTGAAAGCCCACCTCTGAGCCTCCCAAGAATTTGGAGGCTCGTTGGCATTTGTTCTGCAGATGTACCCATACTGCTTCAGAGCTCCCAGATTTCAAAGCTTTAAGTCACAGAGAAATTCCCATTGATTTTCTATGTAATTTATTACTTTAAATCACTTATGTACTTCTGAAAATCTCTGCTGGACCAAGTTTATCTGCCATAAAGATATGTTATTAGAGCAGATTTTTGTGTCTGTCAGGAATTGACCTTTTTCCAAAGCTTTCTTGGATGGCAGCCTATAAAGTTGGGATTACTGTATAATGGAAAAGTTAAGAGAAGTATACTGGGAAACAATCCAGACCAAAGGATTTCCCCATGGGATTTTTTTTTTTTTTTCCGAGTGGCTAATAAAGGTGGCTTTTTGAGGTAATTTCTGCCTATAATTCCTGAACACTCAGTCATACAAAGACACCAAGAAATATTTAGGTGTGTCTAATATTTGTTGTACTTGGAGATTCAAAGATTCAGGAAAAATTTCAGGAATCTTTAAATTATTTTTTAAACCGGTGCAAACGATAGCAGTAACAGGAAGAATTCCGTATCTTTCTTTCATGCTACACTATCGTTTGTATCTAGTTTTCATGTTCAGTGCTGAGATCCAACCATACAGACTGAATGTTCAGAGAGATGGTTTGGAACAGCCTTCCAGCACTGGAATTAGCGTAATAAGAGACATAACACTGCAGGTGTACCTCATGTTTCTTTACCACCTCTGAGGAAGACACTACTACATTTTCTTTGTGTGAGCTTTCTTCCCCCAGCAGCTGAGCCCGGTTTTTAACACCACTAGAGGGCCCCCGCTCCATACAGTACCCATACAGACCCCATATAGACCCCATACCGTACCCATACCCCAACCCACCTTCCGCAAGCCGCGCTATTTCACACTGCAAAGAGCACAGCAATTTTTCAGCAGGTAGGAATACCTTAATTCAGGGGCTTTTGCATTAATTCCAATTGCAATGACATTTTGATTAAGTGTTTTTAAGTTGAATTAGAGCTTTATTTCTTGCACTGGGAACCAGTCCCTTCTCTATAAAGGTGAGAAGAACATGCATGATAGCTGTTGAACTGCTCAATTAGCAAGTCATTCCAATAAACCTTAAAAACTTCAATGCTGACTCAAAAATCATTTCCCCTTCCTTCTGTAAATCTGTTGCTCATGTTTAAGGTAAAAATCAACCAACAGCATGCAGTCATCAAGAAATTTATCTAAATCACTACATTTTCCATGCTTTCATGCAATTAGAGCCTCATATTAGCAACAGGTCCATGTTCAAAACCAAATCAAGGTATGCAATAGGCAGACTTCTTTGTGCATCTTTACAATTGTACTCGGATGCAGCATCTTCTGCATGGTTTGTGCTACAGCAGCTCACCAATTTGCAAATTGCTCTAAAAATAAGTTACAAGTTATTTTAGCCTTACGTTATTTTCCAGACAGAATGCCAAATGTTAAAATCTTCTGGCAAAAATAGAAAGAAAAAAAAAAAAAAAAAAACAAATCCCAAGAGTTCCCCTTCAAAAGCAGAGTATCTTTCCACTGGAAAAAGGTAGAATTATTCATTTGCAATTCTCTATTCCTTTTGGTAAACAGGGAACACCCCTGTGGTTTGATAATCTCACGCAGGATGAAATAATTCTAAACTCCAAAAAGGTGACCTCACCAGCAATGATGTAATCTCCTTGAAAATAAGAGAAGTAATACAGGGCTTGTGTTACAATCTGAAGAACTTCATGAGTGAAGCCACTTGCTAAAAATATTCCAGTAATTTAGGAGATGATAAGTGGTTATTTATATTTTACATAGAAGACAAAGTATCCTATACACATGGACAGTTACTCTGTAAGGCTCTTTTCCAATGTTCCCTCCAAGAAAAACAGATATATTTTCAGGAAGAAAAATAGAAGTTTACAAATGGAAAGCTCTAGACTTTGGATGCATTTTAAACTTGAATTGGTCAGGTTTTGAGTTTGATAAAACAAATGTATTTTTGTCTGCTACCAAGGGAACACTGGAATTATTTAAAATATGTAATGAAACTACAGTTAGAAAGCTGTAGTAAAAGACATTTTCAGCATCTCGCTATCTCTCATCAAACAGTAGCCCAAACTCACCAACTCCAATTCATCCTCCTCCGACTGTACTCGGCAAACAAGAGGGATAACACAGTTACTAAAAATAGCATTGCTTTCAAAAATGAAAGAAAAAGTCACATTTGTGCTTCAGGATTTTTACTTATTTTAATTAATAATGTGAATTTGCCACCTGATTCTGTAAATAATACTACTAGAAAGTATACTTACAAGTCATTCGGGATGATTAAAAAAATACTGTACTGAAAGAACACATGCTTTGGCAAAATTAGTGTGGAAAGAGCTTAGTAGAAACAAGGACACAGCTACACATTGCCGACACGTGTAGATACAGAGCACAGCAGTTTCTGGCTGGACTGATCCAATACATATCCAGCTCAGTAACAAAGTATTTTTCACATACAACCATCCTACCATCCCAGTATCTTTACTCTGAAATCTCCTTCCAGCTTAATCGAAAAGACAAATACAACCTAAATTGAATATTCTGTTGTTCTTAACACCACAACAGTAAATCGGTACCGTACACTACTAACATTAGAACAACCTCATTAACAAGATCATCTTCTTCTATCTATTCCTAATTACATTTAAAGTATAATTTTCACTTTAATAGTCAACCATCATATTTACTGTGTCTTCTACACTTCAGTATTCCTAGAAAAAACTAAAACTTCAAGAATCATGACTCTGAGGATAATTATAGCTTTTGTTACTTAGATTAATTTTGTATCATTCATCATGAATACCAGTAACAAATGTAAGCACTTATCTTAAAAATAAAATAATTATATAGAGAATACTTGTATTCTTTATATCCTGCTTCTCTTGGTTATGGTTCATTCTTTCATATACAGAAAACAGAAAATGTACACATAGATGTTTAAAACTTCTACATAACAGTGAAAGACTAAGACCAAAGGATCTGGCCAACCAAATTAAAGGAAAACCAGAGTAACTCTTCCTGAAAGACCTGTTCTGGTCTCAGTGCTGTGGTTGCCTCATGTCTGACACGAAACTTGTATGCTATTTGAAATCTAGGCTGAACAAACATTACTACCAGCATGCCAAACTGCACAGTAGTATTGAAAAGTACACAAATAGGGACTGAGCCTGATCCTCATTACTCTTTTATGCCTTCATTGAAGGCATGACATCCACCAAAGGACACACAAGGTTGCATTCCAGCACACCACATTAAACAAGAGTTTCTCTCAAACCATCATTACCGCTGAAGCTACATTTTACATCCCACAACCATTCTGACTGAGGAAAAACAAGTACAAAGTGTGCTTTAGGGTATGTTAATACACTTCACATCACCAATAAGATCAGCCATTCTTCCACAGAATAATGCATAACCCTTTTTAAAACCCACATCCCCCAAACCAACAAAGTTCTCAGTACCAAGTCAGTGAGACGTCAAATCAAAACAACAAAATGCCAATCTATGTCTCTAGGATTGCACTCTAACCAGACTTAGGTCAGAATGCTACTTTACCCTTCTTAAAAAAAATTCCTTACAAATTGAACTTCTCCCAAGGCAACAACTTATAACTTAGATTTTCATTAGTGAAATTTCAGAATATAAAGACCTTTCTGTTACTGTAACCTATGGTAAGCAGATGAGATAGCTTCTCCCTGTGCATGTGGACAGAACACTTTATGTTTACAAAGCCAGTCATAGAACAAATGTTTTAACTTACCAATGGTGGCATCATACCCTTGCTGGAGGGTGGGATGACAACACGGAGGTCAGGTTTACGATTGTTCATTCCAAGATTACCTCCTCCAGGTGGAGGTGGAGACTTTGTAGGCATGACTTTGCCTAAGCCATTCCCACCACCAGTAGTTCCAAGTAGACTTGGTGAAGCTCGAGAATTCACAAACCCATTTCCTGAAAGAGGAAAAACAAATGTACTGGAAGACTAAAGAGAAGTAGCAACACAAAAATTTGGTGCACATGTACAAATTACAAAATATTTCTTTTGTAAAACTTGCAATAACAAACTTCTCACAAGAGGTGCAGTATTGAATAATCGAACAAACAAAAACCACTTTCACCAGAAGATCAATATGTAAAGGTAATATCACCTCAAGGGCACACTGTGGCAGCTTAAATGCTGAGAAGAGCATATTGCCAAAGAACTATTTCTAATAACATCTGTTGTTTCTATTTTGTCCTTTGAAGTTCCTCCAGGCTGAGCTTGCAAAAAAGTGTGAGCTTTTGTACAACCCCACTTCATCCCCACCCCCACAGAACATGAGCTATACCGAATTGTTGCTTGTGAGAATACAGAAAAACAGCTCTTAAAGTCTCCATTTCTAAAATGTATTCTTGAAATATCTTCAAGATCTGCAGGATTCCAGTATCTATTCTCTAATTAAATTAATTTCAGTCTCAAAACTATATACTGCCTGATTAGTATATTTAGCAACAATGATACCTTCCCTTCAAATTCATTCCAAGGTCTGGACACAGTTATACACCTCATTTACGCCCATCGACTTTCCACAGGTCTTTCTCTACTTTACTCATGATACTCATTCTAAGTAGAATCAGACAAGCCAAAGCCTACAGGTCCTGGCTTAAGCACCGAAATCCCCAAAAGCTGAATACCCTCAAGATGCAGGCCTTTGCTTACACTCAAAACAGATCAGAAAAAAATAACAAGAAAGTAAAATACTTAAGTGCCTAGTATTCTGTTTTCCTGTGCTGACAAAAGCACCAATCACATTAATCAAAATACACTTGTCAGAAAAAAATCTGAAGGCACATTCCAACTATTTTGTCATTTATAGCAATAATTCCCAATACACACACCTTATTCAGCTGCAAATGAAAAAAAAGAGTTGTTAAGCGAGTGGAATTTCACAACAGGGAACCCTATAGTTCGCACTACAGAACTTGTGTATGTGTGTGTATAAATAAATACAATTCATAGTAAGATTATGTTTATACTAACATTGCAGTTCTGAAAGCAGCCTTTATAGTCACAATTCAGGGAAAAGTCTATTACACAAAGTTCACTGTGTGGGAAATTCTCTTCTAATAGCCTGTAGCGCCATACTGGCATGAATTTTGTATTATTATTCTAATTTGAATAGGCCCCTATGCCCAATCCAATTTTATTACATTAAATACATATTAATCTAAAAGCAATTAAAATAAGAAAGTTGTCAGTGTCACATTCTACCTTCTTTAGAGAACTTTTTAATGCCTTTAAAATCTTAGGAAGAATGAAGAACAGTAACACATATCAGTAACAGCACAACACTTCATGAAGGTGACTGATACTGCTGAGATACTCAGCTAGTGTATGTTGAGAAGCCAGACGTGAATTCACCAGGATACTAATGAGGGATCCTCATTACTCCTCCATTACTACTGATCCTTGTTACATGCTGGAGGAACTGCCAGATGCAATCCTCAGCTCTTTCCTGTCCATTGTAAATGGAACCCTATATATTGTTTTATCAATCTAGAAATGGAAAAGGCAAAGATTAATGTAAAAATTCTTACACAGCTCTTGTGTCAATCTGAAGATATTCTACTGAGCTTTACAAAGGTCTTTTGGAAATAAAGTAATTCCTGGAATTTGCAACCACAGTATTCTTGTTCAGATATGGATGAGAAGTAAATTCTGAACTTTAAAACCAGGATTTCAAATTCTGGATTTACTTTCTTTGTGGATTTTCTACTGTGCCAAAAGCCTGACCATACATGGATGATCTGATATGTCCCTTAAGTTTTTCAAGGTTAACAGAGTAAGGAGGAGTTATTCTAATTTAGTACTTTCCTGAAGCATTTGTATGGGAGGTATGGGAATACGTTTTCTGAGAATTCTACCATTTAACTTGGAAGTTATGGGGGAAAGAAGGAACAGAGACAATAGGGGCGGGGGGGGGGGAAGGTTTTTATGTCAGCATTCTTCCTTCTGTATTAAAAAACAAAGCAAAAACTCATTTCATGATTAAAGCATCTACATTCCTCAGCAGAAAACAGCAGAATTTACTGGGATGCTTCTAGGTTAGTGGCAAAATTTAGTTGAAGTGGCTGAAAAGTTGGGCTGGAGCTGAGAATACATACTGGAGCTAAATATACTCTCGACTGCTAGGAGAAAACTGGCCACAGCTAGGTCACACAGAAAAACCTACTAGTCAAAGAAGAGAAATTAAGTTCTGTGCTACCCGTAAGGTTCCTGAAACTGTGAGACAGTTTTCACAGAATCATCCTTTTGTTAAACACAGTTATTCATCAATACCTATACATTATAAATGAGTGTAAAGATTAGTTATAGACAGTCTATATAGCATCAGATGGAAAGAGTTATCCTGAACAATGGACAAAGTAAAAATTAAGTGGATTTGGAAACAGCGGGAGGAAAAATTATTAGAAAATAGCATATTTTCCATCAAATTATATCTAATATATTGTTACAGTATCTTCTATTTTCAGCAAAAATGTCAGAACTTTTAAAGAACTTACTGTTATAAAAAAGTAAAATCTGGAGTTTAATCTAATAATAAATAGCATTTTATTACTCACTAGACTGTCAGTGCTACCTTTTATATGCCAAAGCTGAGGTGTTCTGAGTTGAATTTAAACTTCAGAACAATAACACTTTGTATAAACAATGGGAGTTCTGTACAGCATTTTAGTCTATCCTATGATACCATTTCCTGTCCTGTTTTCAAGTATTTCGGTAGCTTGTGTGTTAAATCTGAACAGTGTCTTTCTTCCACACCCAATACAGTCATTTCCTGCAGCCCTTATTACAAGGCTCTGCCAATCTTCAGAAACATTTCATGCTTTTAGTGGTGCTGTCAAAAACAACAAACTCCTTGCCATTCCCTTCTCTGCTCAATATCATTCAGCAGCAGGGCAGAGTCAAAGCATTTTTTCTGACAAAAGGCTGAGCATTGCTTAAAATGAGTATTTTAAAAAATGTATTAAGAATGGGAGAAACAAAAATGTTGTAAGTGTGCGATACTATGGGTATTACTCCAATAGCAGCCCTTTGTTATAAATAGTAAGCACTGAACATTTAGCAAACACTGGAGTATCTATATTGACTATTTGAAAAACCATATGCGGGGGCTGCAGTAAGACTGTAGAATATTAATTTTTAATAGGAAATTTAAAGCTTTTTTTCCTGTTAATAATCAAATAAGAAAATCACATTACAAGCTAAGAGTGAAGGGATAACTAAAAGCATGGTATTTCTTAGAGTAAGGTCAGGAGCCAGAAAAAGATAATGATTACAGGATGATGCAACTATACGGCAGCTTGCCAAACTGAGGCTTTAATAACCCCATAAATTCTACTTACTATTTTGTATAATACAGAAATTGTATCTACCCCACCCACTATAGATCTTCCCCAAAGACAATTACTTTATGTTTAAAAACACTATCAAACTGAAAAAAGGAAACAGAATATAAAATCCTGCATAAATGTAAAACAAGACTACTGTTTTTACGTCCATGGGAAGAGTTTTATTTAACTCTAATTCTTTAAAACAGACTATGAAAGCATGTTTGAAACAGTTCTTTGGAAAACAGACACCAATGCCAAGATGATAAACTCCCAATTATATGAATCATAATCTAATTAGATTTTATAACAAACATTGCCAATGTACATGAGCCTACTACTTGTTTAGTCAGAAAAGGGTTACTTTTGAAGTAACTTTTCTGAAGCTAAATGTTAAAACCCACCCATGTTAACAACTGTATACTCTGCCTTCAGAAACGTAATACAGCTTAATCTCATTTATTGTTCTGCAGCCCAAGACGGAGCATTCAATTACATGAGCCAGACTCATATTTCACTACACAAATCACATCAGCTGAAACAATGAACACACGTGGCTGGAAAGTACTGCATGTACTTATTACTACTCAAGGAATAAATTATAGTCATTGATGCCATTAATCTTTTTTTGTGGTTCACCTTCAGAGAAATTGAACAGTTATACAGAGTTTTGGAAAATAATTGTGGGCAAGCAGCTAAGCAATATAAGATTAAGCAAAAATAAGAACAGTAGTAAATAAATATTTCTGCCTCAGATGACGTCATACAACCCAACAAATGTCACTTAATTAGAAGTAAGCTGAAAATTCTGTTTGCAATAAGCCACTGATTCACTATGCATCTAGAAGGCCAGAAAAAAAAAAAAAAAACTATTGAAGACAAACATTTACATGTTGAACTTTTGAGGGAAATGGGATGGACATGGAAATGACACAGAACACATTGCAAGTAAATACAACAATAGCATTTCTACATGCATTAGTTGCTCAATTTATTCACTTCTTTTTTTTAGTATGACAGCTTTAAGTGGAAATGAAACAAAAAAAACCCAAAGAAAACAAAACAAAACAGCATATGCCATTCATACCATTTTCAGCTTTCCACAGAAATCACTGCTGATACTAACATCATTTCAAAAAGCCTAAGTTCTCTGCTAGCTTTGGAAAGAATTTACTGTAACATCTCAGGAAACCCGAAATAAATATATTTCCACTGATCTTTACAAATTGGCACTTCAGATAATACTATGATTAGAATTAAAATATAGCTTTGATAGTAATACAGGAATTTAAACCATGTCTAACAGAATTTATACTTGTAATACAGTACTTTAGATACTAAAACACAGCAAAAAAAAAAATACACATGACTAAGTGTCAAGAGAATGCGTACTCGTGTTACAAAACTAAAATAACCCCTCATTTCCCATGTTGCTAGAAATTATTTTTTTTGCTTAAAGCAAGAGACAATTTTCAAGGATATTTAGAATTTAAATAGGCTTTCTTCAAGACCAGGGTTATTATTCAGATTGCAGCAGCAAACCTAAAACAAAGGCATACTGCTTTTGTATCTAAATGTTA